TAATAGAATGGCTTTAAAAACACATATCTGATATCCGCCAGTCTCCCTTGAGTGCAGGCCTATTAACTTTGCAGAAATATGCATTCAAAGAGTTTTGAAATACAATAACCAGCAGAGGGAATTAGATTTGTGCACTGAAAGGCCTTCCACGAGTGGAGATTACCATTCTTTCCACCATTAATATTTCATTTGCAGCCTCCTTTTATCTCTTTATTTAATTATCCAGTTTGACATGGTTTCACTTTCTTGCCAATTATGTGGATCCTGTTCTGTTAAGTAGACTCCCTCAGAATTTACACCTTGAGCTGTGGAAATTTAAGTAGAGAAATGCTGTATCAGTATTTCAAATGAATGAATTTTGAAGTCTCATTTTAAGTATAAGATTGCACAAGAGATGATATTTTATTTGAAGTATGACAAGGTTATATTATCACCTCATGAATAAGTACAGTGTAGAAGGGCACTGAAAATATCTATTGATCTGCTGTTGCTAATTAAACCTTTTCTTTACTTCTAAGCCATGGAACTCATTGCTATTCTTCAGAGAGAGTAAAGAAATCTGGACCAAACTCTGACATTTATATATAAAGAGCCTTTTATTATTTTGATTTTAATTGCCTTCCTCTGCATTCATATTTCCAACTCAAACTTTAATTTATTCAAAAGGGAAAGCTTAAAATTTGGCACATTTTGCCTACATCTTCAACAGAACTATTGAATATCCAGGTTTATTTATCTCTTGAAATTAGGAGCCAGTAGGTCAAACCAACGTTTTTGATTATTTTGGACGATATGTTTGTTTCTGGCATATTTGCCATTTACTGCCCTTTCCTCGGGAAGGTGATCTGTCCTCTTCTTCAACAGCTACTGTCAATATTGTGTTCATGGCAGCAGCTTTCCATTCCTCCTTTAAATCGAAAGCTTCATCCCAATGGTTTGTGGTGAGTCATTAAGTTCATTTGTGTCTTTGAGTTGAATCTTGCTCGCTGGGTGGCAATCCATACATCAGTCTAAATATCCTATGACATTTATTTCTCTTATCTATTTTAGTTCATTGCCCATTACCAGAACCAACAGTGCTGCCTCTCATACTGGATAAGAAAAGTGTCCTTTGCACAGAGTGCAAAAATACCATTTACTGTACCCTTTCTGCTATCTATTTGCCAGTATGTTTGGGAGTTCTTAATTGATAATTGCTAATCATTATTCTTCATCCTTGCCTGATTCTACTTATTTACTTACAGATTTCATCTTAATATACCCCTATTAGCCTCATCAATTCACTTCTTGAGCCCATTCTGTCTTCCCCTGCCAGAGCAACGTTCCTTTTCTCAGAGGAGATGAGGACACAGATTTCTGGGACTCCACAGCCTGTCCACTGTTGCTGTGCCTTGTTGTCAGGTGTCTTTCCCTGTAATGATATGAAGGGGAGCTGAATGAGGAAGACGTAAGTGGGAGGCATGGTTGTTAGTGCTGGTGTATGTGGCCTGAGAGGCACTCAGACTTTCCGAGGGTTTGAGGGAACAGAGCAGAGGTCATTCGGTATTAGTGGTGTAGGAGGATGAGAGGTAATGAGAATGAGTGAGTAAGTGAGTGCGTGTCGGAGTATAAGCATTGGTGGGACGTGGGTGCAATGCCTGTTGCCTCTTATGTCTTACTAGTGGACCGATCCTCCTAAGGACCAATAGGCTAGTGTGGGAGGAAGAATGTGAAAGGAGGAATGTTTGAGGTAGCCAAAATAAAAACCAAAAGAACTGCGGATGCTGTAAATCAGGAACAAAGACAGAAGTTGCTGGAAATGCTCAGCAGGTCTGGCAGCATCAGTGAAGAAAAAATCAGAGTTAACATTTTGGGTCCAGTGACCCTTCCTCAGAACACAGTTCTGGACCCGAAAAAAATCACCTAATGTTTCTTCACAGATGCTGCCAGACCTGCTGAGCATTTTCAGCAACTTCTTTTTTGTTGTCTGAGGTAGACACCTGCTTTACTAATTTGTCAGCAGTCACTTAAGTGTCAATTCAGAATGGTGGAGACTGAGGAGAGAGATATGAATAAGTGTCCAACATGAATGCCCCTGCCACCACCATACATTCCATAAGGCTAAAATCAATCCTTACGAACCTGTATAAAATCTATGGAAATGTGTACATTGGTAATCAATTATGGAGCACTAACATTTGCATGATCTTCATCTCTCTCTTCACATGTCTCCTGCAATCCAATTCACATATCTATCATCACCATATACAAGCCTATAGTCCTCTAACAAAGGTTTTGGAAATCTGAAACATTGTCACCCAAAAGCTTGTTAATGCTGGAAAGGATCAATTGAAAATTTTTAATTGAGATTAATGGGCTTTTGTTAGACAAGGGTATTACGAGTTACAGAACCCAGGTGGTAAATGGAGTTAAGGTGAACCGCAGTTGTGATCTGAATAAATGGCAGTATAGGTTTCAGGGGATGAATGGCCTCCTTCTGTTCTTATTACAGGAATGATCAGAATAAATTACATTCATAGGTTAGTTCTATGTTAAGTAACAAGGGGGAATTTGAATTCCGTATCCTATTTCTACTCTTGACCTCCAGTCCCGGGCCTACTATCGGGTTGCAATGGAGCTTAGAACTGCAAATCCTCTTTCGGTTAGGTACTTTTTCTATTTTCTGGGCTTATCATTGAGCTCAAAATTTTCAGATCACCCAATTAGTTGCCTTTGGTCATGCCCTTTTAAAAAAGAGAGACCTTTATTACATTGGCTTTCAATGGATGATTTAATTGCCAATTATAAGAGTAGGAAATCTGTTTTTGTATCAATATAATTAGGCGATAATGTACTTCTGCTGGGAAAAAAAGACAGCTCAGCATCAGAAGAATCAGCGACTAAATACAGTTGTCATAGAAACCAAAGAAAGAAAAAGTTGAGGACAAATTTCAAGACATACTTGAAATGATTAAAGGCTGATGAATGACACTTTATTTGATTAAATTGGCATCTTAACAGATAATCAAAGATAAAATTTCAATTACGGTTATAAAGTGTTATTAATATTTTCAGTTGAATACTTTGTTCCAATGATAGATACAGATGAAAGTGTTTGTGGAAATTTGTCTTGCACCACAACCGAGGAGAACATAGCCTATTTCATATACGTGCAACTTTAAGAACAATGTTAAGTCAATGGTGTGTTAATAGCCTAGAAATTACTACTGACAGTAAATAGTTGGTGCATTTGTGTGCACATCTCTCTGTTAGTTTGATGGAGTTAAAAACCCATCTAAGTCTCGAAGAATATTTTAAACAAATTATTGGCAGTAAGTATAGTACCAGGAAAGAGGGCTTCAATTGTTTGGAGAGACGAGAGAGGTTGGAATACAGCCAGTTCTGATATAACACGATGGTTCTGTTCTCGTGCAATTTCACGTTATAAGAAAATCACGCAATAGCCGCGTCATTTAAACTAATGGGGCCAGAACCATGTTATAGCCAATACAGGTAAGGAAAGTTCGCATTCTGCAAATAGTGGTCCAAATTTTTCAGTCTTGTTAAAGCCAATTTGTGTTGAAGAAACACACATTGACTGTAGTTCTCAGAGCAGAGAAGATATCCAGGACCTGAGTGGGGTGTGAGGGGGATCTTTATAAAGATGATCACAATCATGAAGGGTTTTGCTAGAGTTACTAAAGTAAAACTGATTCCAGTGGCTAGAGGGTCAATAATCAACCCAGATTTGAATAATGTGACAATAGAACCAAAGAGGAGATGAAGAAACATTTTTTAATGCTGAGTTGTTATGTCCTGGGATGTACTGAATGAAAGGGTGGTGGAACCAGACTCAGTAGGAAATTGGATATAAGTACTTGAAGAGTTTTCAGGAGATGATGTGAAGTTAATTGAAAAAGATTTGCAAAGAGCTGGCTCAGGCACAATACACCAAATAGCCTCTTATAAAATATGTTGCTATGAGTAAACAGAAATGGTTCCTTTTTGCTCTCCTTGGTTTCCATTTTGTTGATTGATACAGTCATAATGATGATATCATTTGTCAATCTTGCAACAGATTGAACAAAGAACGAGTCAAGGCCAAATGCAATTCATTTTGCAATTCATGTGGTAATGAAAGGACAGATTAAATTATGTGCAAAGGCAATCCAGACTCTTTTTAGTGTTAAAAAATAACTGCTGTATATGTAAACATGTCATGCTTTAGTGGCACCCTCATGCCATTGTTGGTGCTGCAGCCAGGCAAGTCTTGCAGATGCAAGTTTCTTTATAAATGCATAAGGTAATTTATAAAATGGATTCCATGAGATGGAATAGTGTGGAGATTGACTTCTGGATTCATTCCCATCACTCAAATACAAAAGGAACAATATCATACGAAAGCCTGTTCTATTTTTAAGGGATTAATAATTGAAAGAAAAGTGAAAAATTAAAAGAGCAAAGTATAATTGTTTCGGTGAAATATCAAAAGTAAGTGAAACACACCAGCCAGTGAGGCATCTTTGTACATAAGCATCTCATTTATACAGATCTCACATATGTCTTTGATAAAGTAAGGACCTCCAGGAAAGAAAGATACACCACTGAGTAATGAACAAGAGATACTTTACCGATATGTAAGCTCAGGGCCTTTCACACTCAGAAATATCACTTTATTTGCTGTAGAGTTTAATCTTACTGGAGTCATTCATTTATGTAGATGTCAAGAGTGTTCTCTTTTGAGATATATCTCAGCACCAAACGATAAGGAGGTTGCCAAACTAATTGGTGGAGCATTCAGCTGCAGGTCAAAATATTTGCAATGCACCTAAATTATTAATCATCAATGTAGGAAGTAGAATCTGACGCTAAGTGACACATGAAAACACAAAAACTCATGAACATTTATTATATGACACTTAATTGAAAGACGTCGTCATTGTACCATTCCAACATACAAAGATTGAGGCATTATTTTTCTCTTGTTTCCTTTCCTCTGCTATTTTCTACATTTTGTACAGCCGGGCAGCTCCATCTGCAGAGTTCTCTGTTGACCATACACGACATCTGATGTCCTTCCTGACAATGTTGGGTCCCAGTCCAGATTGGAATGTGGGGCTGTCGGCGGAGGATCTCTGCACCAAGGATTGCGGGTGGGTGCAGAAGGTTATTCAGGACTTAATTCCCTGGGATGCTGGAACTGACAGCGGAGTGACTTATCTGGTAAGACATTGATTGATTTCTCAGTTGGTTCGTTTACATCACTGAGGGTGACTGGAAACTTCTCTCAAGCCTGTTCGTTCTGGTTGAAAAATGGGGGGGCAAGAAAGCATTTTTTTTTAACCAACATGTTTCTAATACCCTTGCTCTGCATTACGGAACTCTAGTTTCCCCAAGAAACCATGTAGTAAGTGGTTTATGAGCAAATTTCCTTATCTGTCAGCTTTTTAGTCTGTTCCTTCTAAACAGCCTGTCACGTTTAACATGTATTACCATTAGTTCATCTTGACACAATATTACAGACTCTTCTTGTTTAAATGTTGCCATTAAATCACAGTCAGAAAATACAACCTGCATATACATAAATGGCTCATGAAATGTAGTCAAATGTCCTACGGCACTTGGAAGAGCATTACCAAACAAAGTCTTGGCACTGAACCACATAAGGATATATTGTAACAGACAGCCAAAAGCATGGTCAAAAAGGTAACTTTAAGGCACATGTTCAAGACAGAGAGAGAAATTGAAAGGCAGAGATTTAGGGGCAGAATTTCAGAGTTTAGGGCCCAACAGGCTAAAGGCACAGTCACTAGTGGTGAAGGGCTAGAAATTAGTAATGCACAAGAGGCCAGAATTTTAAAAGTTAATTTGTATGAAATGAATTCATTGGCAAGGCATTTATCATAATTATTCCTAATTGCCCTTGCAAAGATAGTGCTTAACTATATGCTTGACTATAATTGAATGGTTTGCTGGGCCATTTCAAAGTGCAATTAAGAGTCAACCACATTTTCATGTGTCTGGAGTCATGTTTGGTTCAGGCTGGAAACGACGACAAATTTCTTTCCCTAAAGGATGTTAACAAATCTAATGGAGTTCTATGATGATTCAATAATTTTATGAACAAGGACAAAGATATTCAAAGACTGTAGGGCTGGAGGAAACTACTGAAAAAGGAGAAGTGTAAACAATAGTGAGTCACCTGAAAGCTTGTGATTTCAATTAAACTATAACCTGGTGTTGTGTGACTTCTGACTTCGTCCACCCCAGTCTGACACCAGCACCTCCACATCAATAATACTTCAGTAAAACTATATTCTGAGTGACAGAATTAATCAACACTTGAAGAGGCAAGGATTAATTAAGGATAGTCAGCATGGCTTTGTCAGGAGGAGATTTTATCTAATAATTTTGATCGAATTTTTCAAGGAGGTGACAAAGTGTGTAGATGAAGGTAGTGAAGTTGCTGTAGCCCAAGTGGACTTCAGTGAGGCTTTTGACAAGGTCTTGCATGGAAAATTGTTCAAGAAGCTAAGATCCCATGGGATCCCAGGCAATTCATAGAAACATAGAGTGATGCAGTACAGAAGAGGCCCTTTGGCCCCTTGAGTCTGTACCACTAAAAATATAGTACTACCCACATTTGTCCCACTTCCCTGCAAATTTAGTAAATTTGATCCAAAATTGGTTTAGTAGCAGGAGCAGAAGGTGACGGTTGAAGGTGTTTTTGTGACTGGAAGCCTGTTTCTAGTAATATGCAACAGGGCTTGGCACTGGATCCCTTACTTTTCGTTATGGAATTTAATGATCCAGACATGAATGTAAGAGACATATGATTATTAAATTCACAGATGACACAAAAATTGGTGGTATCTTAAACAGTGATGAGGAAAACCTTAGACTACGGGTCTGATGAATGGAATTTAATCCTGAAAAGTATGAGCTGGTGCATTTTAGAAGGAAAACAAGGCAGAGAAGTGATATAATGGTTGGTACACTGCTAAGAAACATGGTGAGTCAGAGGGACCTTGATGTTCATGTTCATGTTCATAGGTACTTGAAGGCAGCAAACAGATAAATAATGTGGTTAAGAAAACAAATAGGATTCTTGCCTTTATTAGTCAAAATATTGAATACAAGAGCAAGGATATTGTGATGGAGCTGTATGTAATGTTAGTTAGGCTTCAACTGAGTACTGTGTGCAATTCTAGTCACTAGGAAGGATGTGATTGCATTGAAGAGGATGCAAAGGAGATTCACCAGGATGTTGTCTGGGTTGGAAGAGAAACTAAATACATTGGAGACAACAAGGTGCAGGGCTGGATGAACACAGCAGGCCAAGCAGCATCAT